AAAAAACTAATCAGGGCACTGATAATCTATTCCAGGAAATCTTGGAAGAAAACTTTCCAAACCTAGAGAGTCATTCAAATCCAGACCCAAGAAATACATAGAATCAACATAGAATCAACCCAAGAAGATCTTCTCCAAGGCACATCATAGCGAGATTGACCAAAACCTCAGACCAAGATAAGATACTAAAATTGGCAAGAGAGAAACATCAAATTAGTTTCCAAGGGTATCCTATCAGGCTAACTAACATTGGACCTCTCATTGGAAACAATGCAAGCAAGGAAAGAATGGGAAAATATATTCAAAGTATGAAGTGAAAAACATTTTCAGCCAAAAATACAGTATCTGGGGAACCAGCAGTTAGCGTAATGGCTATGTCGCTGGACTCCCACGTAGTTGACTGCGGTTCGGGTCCCGGACCCGGTGGCTTAAAACTCACGCCGGGCACGTGTGCGTGCGTGCCCAAGATCCCGAGAGGAGAATGGAGGAGAAGGGATTGCGGCGTGACCATCCCCCCCGGGGGGTGATTTCTCGCTTTCTGTCTCTATGTCTCTCTCTGTCTGTCTGGTGAGCGCATGCGCCCTACAGTGAAAATCTCTCCAAAAAAAAACAAAAAAAAATACAGTATCTGGCAAGGTTATCCTTCATATGGGAAGAAAAGATAAAAGCATTCTCAGATAAACAAAACCTAAAAGAATTTACCAACACCAGACCAGCTCTTCAAAAAGTTCTGAAGGGAACACTATACCAGGAAAACCAAGAGGAACAAATAAGAGAACAAAACATGACCAAGAATGGGCCAGCAGGTGGTATGGTGGTTAAGGGTGCTGGACTTTCATATGAGAGACAACAGTTTGAGTCCCGGACCTGGTGGCTTCCTTTCTTGCTTTCCCTCTCTCTGTCACTTGTCCCTCTCTGGTCAAGTTAAAAAATCAATAAATAAAGTTAAATAAAATAATTTTTTAAAGAAAAAAGACGAAGAAAAAGGTCAACTTATTGGTAGGCACAAGTTCTGAAATATCAATAATATTGAATGTTAATGGGAAGGTCAGACCACAGTAACACTGCAAATTCAACGAAAGAGAGATTACATGAGACTGAACTGGTAAAATAGAATTCTATGACTTTTTT